TAAAAAGATGTAACTTTAGGTGGCTGTAGTATGGGCATTTACCTGGGAGTAAGTCTCATTGAGCTAAATAGCTTTCCTTCTGAACACATGTACAAAAGAACTGCATTTGAAGTCCGTTATCCTGGTATATTTGCTTGGTAGTACCATACTTTATTTATTTTGATTCTATGTTTATAGAGAAAATGTACATTTTTTATTTGATGCTTGCTCATTGTATATGATTGTACAGATATATATGAGAGCCAGTATGTTTTATATTTTGATTTGCCTTTAAAACTTAGCTAACAAACGGACAGTATTTACTATCATTAGAATGCAGTTTGAACACTGAAGAGATTAATTCTTACCTTATCTTCTTAATTGTGTAAAAATTAGTATTATGCTGACTCAGTAAACCGCTTAGAGAGGGCTGTAAAAGCACTGTGAAGCAGTACAGAAGTCTTAAGTGCTATTGCTATAATCGCAAGTATTGCCACTCCTTGCAAATTTCCATTTAGACTTGTACATCAAATGGTGAATAGCAATAGCACTTAGATTTATATATACCGCTTCCCGGTGCTTTACAGCTCTGTTTAAGCAGTTTACAGAGTCAGCCTCTTGCCCCCAACAATCTGGGTCCTTATTTTAACCACCTCGGAAAGATGGAAGGATGAGTCGACCTTGAGCCAGTCAGGATCGAACTGCTGACAGTGGCATAATTAGCCTGCAATACTATCTAACCCCTGCTCCACAATGTATGGATCGATGGAAGGAAGGGCACTAGCAGTAGCACTTAGACTTATATGATGCTTCACAGTGCTTTCCAGCCCTCTCTAACCAGTTTACAGAGTCAGCCTCTTGCCCCCAACAATCTGGATCCTCATTTTACCAGCTTCGGAAGAATGGAAGGCTGAGTCAACCTTGAGCTGGTGAGACTTGAACTCCTAGCTGTGGGCAGAGTTTGCCTGCAATACTGCATTCTAACCACTGCGCCACAGAGGCTCATCCTGGTTAATTGCATACTAATTTTGAGAACAGTTATGCTCTTTAGTTTAAACTTAAATTACTTTTAATAGTAGCTTAGTTTTAGATTATAACATATGTTTGCTTTGGTTTGATTTTTTTTTTACTACATCTGTCATTTTTTTTATATTTGTGGTAGTATTTTTATTAAAGATTATAATTACAATTTAAAAAATATGAATTTTTTAAAAATAGAAGATAAATTAAAGGGTGAGATTCTTCATAATCATTTCCAAAACCTTATTACAAATTTAACTGGAGATTAAATTTAGCTCATTTGTAACACAGTAAAATTGAAGTTTTTATTATTCTTTGGCTGTTTATTCCATTTTTAAAACTTCTTAAAGTTGTATTTATAACAGCCCCATCAAGATCATGACCACCAACATTGACAAGCTAGTGTACATATAAAATGAGAGCAAGCCTCCCCACCTTCCAGCAGTGATGATGTTACCTAGTTGGGTAATTAAATGTCTGCAAGAAAACAACCACGCTCAGAGAACCAAGGACCCCACAGTGTTTAGATACTTCGTGTACGGTGATGCAAACTGCAGTCTTCCCGAATGATTAATGCATCAGTTCAAGATATACTCATGAAATAACTAAGATAGTTTAGAATGTGTATTGAAAAAAGGCTTCTTCAACCTTAATAAAATCTTTCTCTAATGAATTCCAATCAGTAAATTATTATTTTTTAGGTACAGAAGCCTTAGCTTCACAGTCATCCTGGCTGGGTCATTGCTACTCTGTTTCCCCGAAAATAAGACCTCCCCGGATAATAAGCCCAATCGGGCTTTTGAGCGCATGCACTATAATAAGCCCTCCTCGAAAATATTGCAACACAGCAGTAGCCATGAGGTGACCACGCTTTTGCTGCCTCTTGCACCTCAAAAACAATAAGTCCTCCCCGAAAATAAGGCCGAGCGCTTATTTCGTGGGGGGTCAAAACAAAATAAGAGCCTGTCGTTTTCAGGGAAACGCGGTAACAACTGAACCATTTTCCACTTTCCTCCTTGCTGATGTGAGAACATAAAAAGAGAAATTGCTGCGGCCTTTTCCCTTCTAACCGCCTATTCATCTTCTTTATAGCCTGCTAATTTCAAAACGTAATTATGATGCTATAAACGTGAGCGCCATGAATTGCAACTTTGCTGAACGATGAACCCCTTTCCCTGGCACGAATTGTCCCTTTCAATGGTTCTCCAGTTGAGAGGTTTGGGGCTCAGAAAAAAATGTTTCTCGTCCTTTGGGGATTGCGTGCTGTCGAACCGCTGGTGTTTTGTTCAGCGAGTCTCTAAAACGTATTTCGGTGCAAAAACAACGTTGCACTTCATCTTGCTCCGTAATAATTTTCAGTCTCTTTAGATGCCATCCTGCTATTTTCAGTTCTTCCCCTCCACGCACAGCGCACGGATGAGCGGGGATGCAAAAACCCATGTCACAAGGACCTTGAGTCTTGAAAGCTTTCCCTATCAGTTTGGCTGCAGTCTTTTGACAAAGTGTCGGTAGCTTTTTGAGAGCCCCGCATTTTGCCGACGAGGGGAAGGAAGTGCCTTTTTTCTCTTTTGTCTTAAAACCCACAATTAAAACCTACAAATTCCTTTTCTAATCCATTCTTGTGTGTGCCTTGCGTTTCCAGAACGCCCCACAGCGGAGAGACTCGCCTGCCGTCTCGTCCAATGGAGCCTTGTCCGTCGGATGAATTTTTCCAAGCGCTCAACCATGCGGAGCAAACGTTTAAAAAAATGGAAAATTACTTGCGGCACAAGCAACTGTGCGATGTGGTGTTAGTGGCAGGCGACCGACGGATTCCGGCACACAGGTATGTGCGGGTTCAATTCCTTAAGGCAGTGGTTCCCAAACGTGGCAACTTTAAGACTTGTGGACTTCAACTCCCAGAATTCTCCAGCCAGCAGAGCTGGCTGGAGAATTCTGGGAGTTGAAGTCCGCAAGTCTTAAAGTTGCCACGTTTGGGAACCACTGCCTTAAGCTGCCATCTCTTTGGAAACATTTGAACGTATGAATAATTCATTCTGAGCACGCTCATTCAGTGATTCCAAGGAGGGA